TAAAAATTAAAACAGATGGCTTTATTGTTTTTAACGAGGTATTTAAATAAGTACAGTTTAAAATATTTAAAACAAGAGTATTAATTTAAGTACACCTATATTGTGTTAATTTTAAATTAATTTTGATCATTATTCTTAGTTATCATCACTTCCAAAAAATATTATTTATTATTTTTTTTTTATACGTACGTACTTAATTACCAATAATATCTTCTTTTTTTACAATCAAACATTAGTAAACACATTGGTTTTCAATTGTTTTTACTACTTATTTTTAGAACATATTATATCACCTTAGTATATTGTCATATCACATTGCATTTTAGTTGGATTATTTAAATTTTCTGAATCACCTTCTACTTAAGTTTACGTAAAAACTTATAGCATATCTGTACAGGTAACACTTGAGTTATAAAGTAAGTTTATAATATCTCTAATATATGGTTAGGTCTAAACCTCAATCTTTTAATAACTAATTTCATGCCATGTTTTAACCACAATTTACCAACCTACGACGCACGCTTTATCATAATCTGTCTGGGCATATGACACTAATAAAATATCAGTCATTCCGAACAGTGAAAAGACGTTTATTTTGTTGAACAAAAATATTAGCACCTACTAACAACTTTAAATACACTTTATCAACTCTTACCGATTCATACAATGTAAAATTTAAAAGAAAAGTGATCCAGAATCCTTTTTATTATCATAATCATGCTTTTTAAATATATAATATGGGTAGATAAGTATTTTATCTATAGTTTAAAGTTATAAAATGTTATAACTATTTAAAAGTGATTTATATATCTTTTTACTTCAATATATTTAAATCTCATCCAATAATAATAATAATACTAAAATCGTTTGCAAATTCCAGGATATACTTAAAATGCATTAGTTTACAATACATTATTATTCGCATTATAAATAGATGATTTTGAATTATAATCCCCATTTGCGTACCATCAGATACATATCAATCAACTCAATATACTTACTCATAGATTCCTATTTGATCAAAATACACTCAAATACACTTAAGCGACTTATACATTTCACTCAATGTGTATTCAACACAAAATATGATTTAATACTATTAGAGAAATGAAACTAATCACAAATAAATAACGTCCTTTGATTAAAACAAAGCGTAGATACTAAATATTTAATACCTAATAGGTATGTAATAATAATATTAGTAACAATAATACAATACATATATTGAATGAAGTATTAAAATATGATATTACACAAAGAGCATAATATTATTTTCAATAAATATTTAGGTAGGCTAGTAATTTTGACAATAAGGCTTACAATAATATTTATTTATTTATTAACATTTAATTGTAAACTCAAATCATAATAGACATATCAAACACAGGTACCACCTATCCGTGTACTGGCGCTTAGTATGCCAATTAAACGCTAACACTATTATGTATCAAATAATTATTCATAAATTTATAGTTTTACTAATAAACCATAACTTTAAATTAAAGACAGTGATTAATATTTCAGTATTATAGAACATGGATCGTATTTTTTATAATATAGACTGTGGAGTATATAGATGTTGGAACGTAAAACGTCAAAATCAATAATATGAAAGTACTATATATAACTACTATAGCACTATAAACTTACTTGAAAGTTGACATATGAAATTAAATTTAACTTTATTTACTCAATGGACATATTAATTAAACACGTCATTTTGTATACGTAATAATGTACGGTATCTCTTGGAAATTATCATTCAATTTATATATTACTCACCTTGTGGTTATAGGTTATAGCCATGTTAGATAATCATTTTCTCGGTCTTGTTTAATTATACACTACAACCAGAATATTCAACCAAAACCATTCCAGTGTAGTTATTTATCAAAATGTATTTTCATCTTATAAATTAGAAGTTAATATGAAATTAATTGAATTTACAACAATACTATGTCGTAATGTATTTTTGTTTGGAAAATATTAGGTAACCATAATTGTTAATGATACTATAATGTTAAAATACAATAAAGAATTTCTATAATGTACCTTTCATATTTAACTTATTTTAAATAGTTATATTTTATAGGTTGTGAATAGTAATGTAAATATTATCTAAAAAACCATTTTCATATCTACACAATAAATAATTAATTTTCCGTTATTAATCTAAATAAATAGACTCTCTTATTAATAACCTCTAAATTAATAAGTGTTAGATATAGAATTTAATTATTTCAAAAGGTATTTTAACTTTTTATTCGCCGTGCCAATTTTATATGGAAAATTGTGTAGGCAAGAGAGTAAGAAAATAATTAGCAATTCATAATAGAGTTCGAAAAGCATATTTATAATTTTCAGATAATTAAAAGTTAAAAACCATATTATATGAAAACAAAGGGTAGCTAACGTGTTCCAAACTCGTGTAGAATTTCCAAACAATATTTATAAGTAATTAAATTATAGAAAAGTAGGAAATATTATAATTATATTTTTTATTTGCCTAGATTTTTTAAGTTAAATATAATAATATAATAATTAAGTGAAGAATAATAAATACATTTTTTTTTTTTTTAACATTTAAAAACATATGTTTTAAGTAATATTATATTAATAATAACTAACCTTGTCCTAAAATAAACAATATTAATATTTATGATATTATTATATATGATTAATATTATAATATATTAAATCATATTATTATTATGTTTTAGCTCATATAAACTATAAAGCTCTTTTAGATTCGAAGGGATGCAATGAATATATTAGTATTATAATGATGCATTTTTTTTTTGTGTGCGTTTCTGACTTTGCCTTTTGGAGTAAAAACATATTTCGATTTTCAACTCTGAAAGTAAAATGGTTTCTGTTAAAAAAATCGTATATAGTCAGTAGTACTTTTCAATATATATCTTAGAAAAACAAATAAGGGGAAAACGAAAATGTTTACGCAAAACAAATTTGTGACAAAATACAGTTTTTTTTTCTTTTGTAATGTAGTTCTTAAAATTTTTCCTTAATATTCATACAAAAATTTATCAGACATTAAATGTATAACTTTAAAAATGATTTAATTTTTTTTTTACACTATTTATAGTAAAAAATATGTATTATTTTAAATTATTTAATATTTTACTTTTTATGATATGTTTTTTGTTTTTGGATAAAAAATATTGAAAATTTAACATAAGATTCCTCATAGGCTAATTATCGGAACTTAAAATGTAATATTAATATACATATTTATATGATACAAATTTGTTATAAATGATTGAAGCAAAACATTTTGGATCTCTAAATGTATTGAAAATATTATTACACAAATTAACTTTTTTTATTTAAAACGAAATATTCAAAATATTTAGACTATTTTTAAAATATCTATAAAAAATAGAAATTTTCAAATGTTTTTAGTTATTTATATAAAAAAAAAAAAAAAAAAAAAAATGAAAATTGTATGATTAGTTAAAACTTTGCAAATTAATTACAAGATTTCGTTTAAGTTTTTCTCATAAAAATTTAAAAATTTTAAAAATACTTTATATGATTATTTTTAATAACCGTTTGAAGTTCATACTTTGAAATTTTAATTAATAATTAATTCTGAAAAATTAAAACAATTATTTCTTCATCAGTATTTCATACAGTGACCTAAAAATCTAAACAATCTATATAATTTTTTTCATAAATATTTAAAATTATATACTTAAACGAAAATAACAATTTAATTATTTTACTTTAATTCAAAACATTTTATTCGTAGCAATTTGAAACTAATTTATATTTGAATTAAAATTAAATACATCTATCATAGTGATGAGAAACACTCAAAATATATTATACAGTTGAGCGAGTTTTATTTTATCTTAATTAAGTACGTAATATTAATAATAATATATATATATATATATATGATATAATGTTTAAATAAATTAAATTATAAACTGAAAACTTTAAATTGTATGTATTAAAAATGAGAAAATATTTTTATTTTTTTTTTTAACTCAAAAGATAAATATTTAGTTATATTATTATAATGCTAAATAAATTGAATAATATGTAAAACTTAAAATTTTCATAATATTATCTATTATCAAATTATAAAATAAAGAATGAAAACAAATTTAAACATCAATTTTACTATACAAATATGTTTTATCTTATTTTGTATACCTTTTACATATCTTTCATTTAGATTAAAAAATCGAAATATGTATTATTAAAAATGTGACTACAACAGAAATGTTAGATATGCATATATTATATTTTATTTTAGATATTATAACTCTCGTAGTTGATTAATTAGAAACATTTTATTTCATGATTTACGTAGAAAATTTATTTCATATAAAGTCAATAAAAATGTTTTTATTAATTATCTAACAAATAAATGATTAACATCAAACAAATGCATTTTAATCAAATGCTTACCAATGTACCGTAGCCCAAATAATTATTTTGTTATGAACATATTTTAGATTAAATATCTAAATTTTGGGTCATAGACAAATTATTGATCAGCTAAATTCCATATTTTTGGAGCTAGATATAGCAGTAAGCCTATACTTGCCCATTTTTCATGTTCAGGCATATACGCCGTGTGTGTGATTTCAAAACTTCCGCAGTAACGGTACTTGTTTAATATAGCAACAATAATAAACCTATTTAATGATTACATACATTTAATAAATATAAAATGAAATTCTAAAATCATAACATCACCGCAAACCTAGGTAGGTAATCCATTAGAAAAAAATACATAAATACTAGATAACATTATCAGAAATCGATAAATATTGATTAATTGTAAGATAATAAGTGCTATTTTATATCCTCGGCAATTACTATGTTATCAGCTTATTATAAAACACACAGTTATAGTAATTTTTTTTTCAGACTCTTTTAACAAACATAAAATACATTGTTGGTATCCATAAAATTACTTATTAAACAAACAAAATTATTATCAATCAAAATTTTAACAAGTATAAATTATGACGGCGTACTTTGAAGAGACAACTGGTATTGCGAACATGGTATTGCTAGAAAACTCTGACGAAAAGATATTAATCGAAAACTTAAAGAAGCGACTACGTAAAAACATAATATACGTAAGATTAGTTAATCATACATTTTATATAAATTAGAAATTAAATAAAGCGTATGCAACTTTTTATTTACTATTACGGTTTATAATATGTAGGTTAAATTCGGGAATAATTTATATGAACGTAAATTTTTTATTTGCGTTTATTATTGTATTAATTGTTACATTATAATTTAATATTGCAACGTGAATATTATTATAATTTATTTAGTAAAATGTATTAATACAATTTAATATTCAGCAATTAAAACACCAGTTTAAACCAAAATGTTTAATTATCAACATATAAATTTGAAAGTATTAATACGTATATTATAGTTGGTATGATATTTTTGATTTGATTAATTAATGGAGTGTATAGACATATTTTATATTTATATTATAAACAGAATATTATTATGAATTAATGATAAATAATTTTTAATTCAAAAATTGAAAATATATTTCTTATCAACGAATCTCGTAGTTATTAAAATTATTATCCGAAAAAATATGTTCACAGACGTGCATCGGGGAAGTTTTAATAAGTGTTAATCCATACAAGACTCTGTCAATATACAGTGACAAATTGATGCTCAAGTACTATAACAACAACTGTGTTGATGAAATGCCACATATGTGAGTCATTAATACTATACTCAAATAATTAATGGTTTAAATAATAGTATGGAAACCCAGCTGTACTAAAATATTTTGCTGTTTCCTACGAAAATTAATTGTTGGATTATTGGCTAACCAATCTAAAGCATTTTTATTATTGTCATTTATACGTGTTTAAATTCATATTTTCTAGATTTGCAACATCTGCGAAAGTCTTTAAGTCTTTAAAAGAATATCGACGAGAACAATGCATTTTAATATCAGGTAAAAAATTGTAATTATTAAAAATAAAAAATAAATACATACAACACCGATAAATATATTATGAAAAATATACATTGTTTAGTTGTTTCATATGCAATTGAATAGCCAATATAACTATCATTATACATTTTAAAAAAAAACTAAAAAAAAAAAATTGACAATGTATTCAAAACTCCATTCTATTCTAATATTTAAAATTATAGATATGTTCATTATATATATTATATAAGTAGGTATCAAACTTTCTCGTTCCTAGAATTACTAAAATCAATACAACCCGATACTGCTACAGTATTTATATATTTTAAAAAGTTCTAAGTTGTAACAAAATTAAACAGACAACGCCATTTTCCTTGATAGCATAATTAAATGTTAAAAAAACGGATATTCGCGTTTTTATTTAAAAATTAAAATTATTTTTTTAATTAAAAGTCATTATACTGCACATTTCAATAAAATAAAAATATTCATAATTATTAGGAATTTCATAAATATTTAAGAGTAGATACTTCAATATTAATAGTTTAATATGTAACATTTTATAAAATTAATATTTACTTTTATTTTTCAAGTTATGTTTAAAGTACTTTTTTGTATTGGTGTTAAATAATTTATTTATTTGTTTTGTTGAATTTAAATTTCAGTTTTGTATACAATTTTTACAGTTTACTTGAACTCATGTATTAATAAGAATAATTTTAATCATGAAACTTATATCAATAAAATATTACCACAATTATCTTTACTAGGCAATATACCAATGTGAAAATAATTATTTATACATGGTACCTCTACACTAATACCAAAATATCAAAATTGTTTATAATTTTCAATTTAAGAACTTGTTTTATTCATGAAAAATGTCAAAAAATGCCATAATATTATTTATACATTTATTACATATTTTTAATTTTCTTCGAATATTAAATTTTAAATGTACTATATTTTGTGCATGGTGCATGCCACAGTTAATTACATCAGGTTATCAACAAAAACTGAGATTACTATTTGACAGCAACCGGACTACAAATAATAACCAATCTGTCTTTAACTTTATGCAATACATTAAGCATACTGCAGTTTTAAGTTAACATATGTATATACTAAATAGGTATTAATATATTTGTTTTCAATATTATTACTTACATTACAATAAAAATTACTCAAAATATTTAATTAACTAGCAATTTAATGAACTAGTAATAGTAACAGTGTGATTACTTTTGAGGTAACACTAAATATTTTTCTGGATGACTTTTAATTTAATTCAATGTTTTCATTACATACCTTCTTCTTCTTCTTCTTCAGCTTTTACTGTCCTTGAAGGACTTTCGCTGCCTCTACTACTTTTCTCCAACTATCTCTGTCAACACTATCCTCTAAAGTCAATCCCTGGGCGCACTTGTCAATATCCTCCTTAACCCTGTCTATCCAGCGCTGTCTGGGGCGACCCCTAGGTCTTTTTCCATTGATTTTTCCTTCCAGAGCTTTCTTTAGGATACCATTTGACCTCCATACATGGCCTGCCCACTCAATACATACCTAAATGATTTAATATTACAATTATTTTTTAAAATTTCAAATGTTTATCCTTTTTTAGTTCGAATTTGAAAAACGTTTACGGTCAAGAGTTAATTCATATATTCTTTAAAATTTGAATAGATGAATTTCATTGTAAAAAATTAAATATAAATTATCGATAAAATATAACTCTATCTGCTGGCCAAAATTTAAACCACGAAAGCTTCATATTTGTTAAAATAAACCGATGTTATTAAATCCATTATGAAAATAATATTAACCCTGTCACAGTTGACGTATTACGTCGTTCCATGGCACATATTATACAAAGCATAGACCTAGTATCTAGTTAAAGACCCACACGTGTCACATAATAATTATACGGATATATGTGGTACGTAACCGTGAAAGTATGCATTAAATTTTTTTCTCAGACTTATAGAGTTTTTTTGATTCTGAGTAGAGCAATGAATGTATTGATTTTACTATATGTTTTTTTCTGTACAGTACAATTCATATTTTATTATGTTTATGAAACATAATATATTAACATATAAAAATATATAAATATTGATGATTGTAAATAAAAATAATTTTTGCTCAATAAAATATCGTGATAACAGCTATGTATTATAATTATAATTACTTTGAGTAAAGTCGCCAATAATTATTACACACTTATACATTATTATATTACTTAAGCGGTATATCTACTTAATATTTAGGTACCTTATCTACTTTAATTTATCATATTTTAATCCTATATTACTAATTTTATTATGCATATGTTTCTAATATATAGGTATAAATACAAATTTAATTTGTTATGTTAACAAATTTTATTTAACGTTTCAGGTGAGTCTGGATCGGGAAAAACAGAAGCATCCAAAAAAGTCCTAGAATTTATTGCAAAAGCCACACACGGTGACCATATTATTCAGATGATCAAAGATAAGCTCCTTGTAGCAAATTTAGTTCTGGAGGCATTTGGTAATGCCAAAACTTGTAATAACGATAATTCTAGTCGATTTGGAAAATATATGGACGTGGAATTCAACCCCATGGCAAGTTAAAAATAATAAAAATATTTTTATACATTAACTGATTCGTGGATATGAATAATAATGAAATTTTAATCGTTAAAAAAATACACTACTATTATAAAATTATTATTTTAAATGGTTTCATAAAAAATAATATATTTTAATCTCTTAGAGCAGTGTGCAATATTTGATAAAATGGGGTACACGATTATTTACACCTACTTGATTTTTTTATAAAATATTATTACTAATGTATATTTTCGAAAAAATTTCCTAGTGTATATACATAATATCTCTTAAAAAACATTTTATTGTCTCCGAATGTATTAAGAATATAAAAATAGATATCAATATAATCATGTAAATTTTGTATATTGCAAATCGTAATGTTTATTTTATAAACAAAAGTAGGATATTAATATATATTCTTTTATTTGTATATTATGCTTTTAGATTTTCTACCATGTACATTTATAATAAATTGTAATGAGAAATTGTTTATACCTTTAAAATTATTATTTTCAATATATAAATTATGTACTTACTTTTACACAAGTTCTTAAAAAAAAAACTACTATTGGATTTCTTATAGGGTCAACCAATAGGAGGTAATATTCTAAACTATCTGCTTGAAAAGTCTCGAGTTGTTAAGCAGGCTCAAAATGAAAGGAACTATCATATATTTTATCAGCTGATAAATGGAGCTGATAAATGTTTAGCTGAACTCTTAGCGATTGACAAGGACGTTGATTATTTGTACGTGAGAACAGACAAGAATGACAACGACGATTTCGAAAATGAAGTTTGTTGGGCCTATTCTAAATGCATGTTTTAATTTTATTTTCGTTTTGGCTTCAATTTTTTATAGACTGTTAACGAAGATTCCAACAAATATAAAGAAACTTTAAATGCTCTTCAAATTCTAGAATTTAATTTGGAAGAAAAAATGGATATACTGAAAATTGTCGCTAGTATTTTGCATTTGGGTAATGTTAAGGTTCATAAACGTGACCAAATAAGCAAAATTGAAAATATCAATACAATTCGTATAGTGGCCGATGTAATATAACATTTTTTTTTTTTTATTATTATTATTAGAATAACTCTCAAAACCGTAGTCATTAGGAAATCACTAAATTTGTTTTTAATATTAAGCACTTTATGTTCTTAAACATTTCAATATTTATTGTACATGAAATTTTTATTTTTTGTAAGTGAAAAACTTAGGCGCATATGAACTAAGTTTATCATAGCGTAATATAAAATTAATTTGTAAAATCCCAATTTCTAAATAAATAACATGTTACTCGTATTAACTATTGGAATAAGTTCCAGCTAAAAGATTCTGAATACAATACATAATATTATTTTTGTACCGTCAGATATCTTATTTTTATTTTTTGTTTCTTAGTAGATATTACTTGCAGCGTGATTTTCAATTGCAGAGACTGATGTTGATCAATTATTTTAAATAGATATCCATGTTTTCCAGAAATGTATTCAACAATATGTTGATATTATTTTCAATCTTTTTTTATATATTTTTTATTTTGAAAGATTTTTAAAATAAAAATAAAATTGAAAAAATTGACAGTGTGAGGATTTGTCGGAGGCTTATGAACTGAGTCGTTTTATATATAAACTAAACTTGAGATGATATATGATTAGAAATAATTTTTCAATTATTATTATGGATAAAATTGTGTGTTTATTAATTTGAATTTTATCCTGCATTATCGAACTTTTTGCTGTGTAAAGGTCGACGAATGAATGGACTTTTAAAAATGGGATGTTTTCTATTCATTTATGCGGATAAAATTTATTACTACAGGTTTAATGAATTTTTTTTATATAAGTATTATTAAGATACTTGAAGTATAATAAATATTAGCAAGTGTACGATGCATAGTGTACACTGTATAGCTGTTAGAACATTATTAAAGGTAACACACTCGATAAAGTATACATAATTTTAGCTACGAGTTGTCAACGTGGCGTATATAATATAGTTACGAACTGGTTTTTACTTAAATAATTGAATTTTTTTTACTATATAATTTTTGCATCAAATATTGGAAATTATTTAATTACTCGTAAATTATGATATGAAATATTATTATCATCATTTTTTATATCAATTAATTTAGTATATTATATTAATGTGTTCAGTTACTAGGAGTTCCAACTAATGATTTGATATTCGCATTGACAAATAAAATAATAAGAGCTCACGGAGAAGTGATTCAGTCACATCTGGACGTAGAAATGTCGATATTTGCAAAAGACGCATTAGCTAAAGCTATTTACAGTAGACTGTTTGAATGGTTGGTAATGCATATAAACAAAACGCTCAAAACAACTGTTCGTAAAAAAAGTGGTCGCATTAGTAAAAACAAATCGATTGGAATATTGGATATTTATGGTTTTGAAATTTTACAAATTAATGGGTAAGTGATGTATTAATTTTACAAATCGATAATGTACCCTTATATGATATATTTATGTATAATATTATTATAATTAAATATGAATAATTTATTATTCCATAAAATCATATCTATGAAAAATATTACTAAGTTACACAATGAACAAAAAATTACAAGAATATAAGTACTAATTTAGGTATCAATTTTAAATTATGATTAGTTAAAGATAAAATTATTAATATAATATATATTATTAATATTATTATTAATTTAATGACTATTATACTAGAATACAATTTTTTATACGTAATGATATTTCTAAATTGAAAAACCTAAATAAGTTTACATAGTGTGAAATTGTAATTTAATATTATATTTAAAACTAAAATGACAATTCTAAAAATTATTATAAAATAATACTTTAATTGATAATTAATTATAAACATATTAAAACTTTTAATTTTAGATTTGAACAGTTTTGCATTAATTATTGTAATGAAAAGTTGCAAAAGTTATTCCTTGATTTAACACTTAAGTCAGAACAACAAGAATATTTAAGTGAGGGCATCGAATGGAATGTTGTTGAGTACTTTGACAATGGTATAATATGTGACATGATTGAAGAAAGACATAAAGGTATGGTACCTAAATACGTCTCATATATTTGGGTTATTTTTAAATAGCTAACACTGCAGTCGTGTTTTTCTAAGGGATCATTTCATGTCTCGATGATGAGTCTCTTAAACAAACTGATGTGTGTAATAATTTGATTTTACTCAACGAGTTGGCGAGACGTTTCAAAGAACATGAGCACTTTTCATGTTATCAAACTGCAAATGATCCATCAATCAAAAAGACAATAATTTTACCTACAGTAAGTAATGTAAAAACATTATCAGCTACTATAAAAATATAAATATAAAATTTTTAAACATTAAAAGGAGTTTGTAATCAAACATTTTGCTGGTGCAGTGACGTATGATGCTTCCAACTTTTTAGAGAAAAACAATGACTTTCTGTTTGGAAATCTGAGCCAAATAATGTCCCGCTCAACTAACGCGATCATAAAGGTAATACAATACATAATTTATACACATTCTAAATACTTTATGTCTCACCAGGATATTTCAGTCGATTTTTTTCAGATTGTCAGACACCCGACAAAAAAATACCAGAAACTACAATAAAGCAGTTTAAAAAAAGTTTGAATCGACTTATAAACACATTATCGACAAAAGAGCCTTCGTACATTAGATGTATCAAACCAAACAACTACAAAGAATCTGGTAGATATAATATTGATTGATTAATGATAAAGTTAACCACGGGATTAAGTTCCCTTTTTGAGCTTATTTTCGTTAAACCGACTCAATAGTATATAATATTTTTAACAGATAATATTGTAATTTATAACTATAATATTTAACAATTATAACACAATCTTAATTAATTAAAAATCATCCCTCAAAGAAATGTTGTACTATGGCACTGTATTAGTTATATAATATAGTATATTCAACTATATCTTAATTATATTTAAATTTCAGACAATTTTGATGAAGAAGTTATCAGTAAACAAGTGAAATATATGGGTTTAGTCGAGATACTTCATATCAAGAAAGCTGGTTTTGCATATCGTGGTCAATTTGAAGTGTTTTTAAATAGATATAAGAGCTTGTGTCCAGATACTTGGCCCGATTGGAAACAACGTTATGACGGGGTGGCTGTCGAGGCAGTAAAACGATTGATTGAACATCTGCAGTACACGAGCGAGGATTATAAAATCGGAAAGTACGTGAATAGTAGCAGCAAGTACCAAGCATTTTTTTTATTATCAAAATTAGTTAAAAAATACTTTTCATGGCCATATAGGTATTAGTAATTTCGGAATAATATAATTATAAACAATAATATGACGTAACCTCTAGTCACAGTAAAAATTAAACCGTAAAATTTGAAAATATCACATTGGTTTTTTTAAAGATTTTTTATAATATTATATAACCTCACATAAAGATTAATTCATGAAATATCGTATTTAATATTTGTTACAGGACTAAAATCATGATAAAATACCCACAAACGGTTTTTGAAATCGAAAACCGATTCCAAGCGTCCAAACACAGGTTGGCTACGATTATTCAATCAGTGTGGCGTGGATACATGGCCCGTAAACGATATACACGAGTTAGGAAATTGGTAATATACTGTCAGAAGTCAGCAAAACAGCGTTTACGATACAGGCGGTCGATGAAACTCCGAGAGTTCAAAATGGTCATTCAAAAGATAGTTTTCGTTCAAAAAAACATCAGGAGACTGTTGGCCGTGCGCTCTTACAACAAAATTCGAAACGCCGGGCTGACGATTATAAAGTATTAATTTATTTTTATTTGGGGTAATCATTTTTTTATTGCCTATTTAAAAAAAACAACAATTTTTAGATTTTTCAAGGGGTTCTTGTCGAGAAACGATCCACCAAATGCGTACAACCGTCAATTTGTAGTATACAAGCAAACGAAATATTTGATCGAGCTGTCTGAAACGTTACCAAAAAGTCTGATTGACGACTATTGGCCTAATCCACCGAAATGCTGTGTCGAAGTAAATACAAAATCAACGGTTAAAATATTGCATCATGTATTGTTTCATATTACAAATAAAATATATTTATGCTAAGGTATCTGCCTACTTAAAGACCTTGCACCGTAGTTGGCTATCAAGAGTATATCGAACGAATTTGGCTAAATTTCCCGAGACGTATGAGCGCCTAAAATTTAAGCTCGCCGCATCTGAAATATTCAAAGGTAAGAATACCATATTTTACTTGTGCTATGTTAATACACTCAACAATAGCATAAAAACACCAAGTGTATAATTTATTTTGTAGGAAAGAAGTCAATATACCCAGAAAGCTTAAAATTCGATTTTAATATCGATCGTGCTGGAATTATTCAAAAATTGATAAATACTAACTTACAGAACGATGAAAATCCAAAAACTGTTTATCTTGTTGGTTTTTAAATACAAATTATTATTTATTATTATTATTTTTTTTTTTTTTAATTTTCAACGTTTTAGTACGCCTCAGAGGTAACGAAATTCGATCGCCGAGGATACCGACCAAGAGTTAGGATTTTGATAATAACTACAGAAAACATTTTAATCATCAAAAAATCTGATAAAAACCAAACTATCAAAGATCGATTGCCGTTGGAACACATAACAAACTTGCAGATGACATCTGGAATGGACAATTTCTTACTTATCAAAGTATCAGATAAACTAGAAAAATCTAAGGTAAAATCGATATTTCAACACTAAACAGTAGAGTGCTTATTTAATAGCTTTAACGTTATTTCATTAATTTTATTTATAATTATTTCTAAATGATGATCGAAGACGTATTTAGAGTTTTAGTCATTCTTATTTTCTGATGCTATTCATTCCCTTAGCTACGATTATAAATAAAAACGAATCATTGGTAATTATTTGAATAAAAAAGTTTGCAATAACTTACTTATCTACAACATTTAGTACTTACTTATCAAATCTTTAGGTTTCTTTGTAATAAAATAATAAAATTGTCTAATTTAGGAAATTTAGAAATAATATTTTAATTTTTTAACTTTTTTCACACCCTGCACTTCTTAGTTTCATTATTTTACCATTTATTTTTATATAATATTATAAAATTATCAGATAGCTTTAATCAATGTTCAAAAAAATAAATACAATAATGTAAAATTTATTATAGACCTTAACCCACAACGAAACTGAAAACAGTGTTAAAAGTAATATTAAAATAATAAAATTCACTTGATTAGTAATTTAACAAAATTTCATTATCATATTGTAAATATATTTTATAAGTAGAATAATTTTTTATATAAATTTGCGATATAATAAAAGTGCTCATGTCTCTTAGTTGACGAATAACGAAGGACAAAAGTTGTAAGTTGAAGAGAGTATTATTTATAATAGGTATAACTGTATAATACGTTGCCATCTGTAAATCTGTATAAAAATATAATGATACCATCACCATCATTTCTTCCTCTAAATACGTCTCTAATAATAATAATGTGTATATTGATATAATTCCTATGTTGTGTTTTTATAAACTTAGGGAGATGTTCTATTAGAAGTTCCGTACTTGGTCGAATGTGTGACAGCTCTTTCGAAACAAACAACTGGGATAGTAGAATTTATTAATATGCAAGAGAATTCATGGTATTTATTATTAGAATAAAATAAACTAAGACTAATATTGATACGCATTTCATTAAATAACTCAGAATAATGTAGTTTATAGATACTATATCGCATGTGTTAATTTTATTATTACTAGGAATTTGGAATATTTTGTATCTATATACTCATAATAAATAGTATAAATAATTGTTATTTGCGAATATATAGATAATGATATTTTTTTTCTTTTTTAATATCTATACGTATGTCTAATGTATATATTTAATATATAATATTTAGCATGAAACATGACATGAAAAACTCAAAAAATCCTGGATTTATCGAATTTATACCTGTTGCCGTCTCGGAACGCAAAGGAGAAATCCGCAAAGGAAACAATGGAAATTTAACGATTACCGGTTGAACGTAACAAATGTGTTTTTAACCATCGCCGATTTCAAATAAATTATATTCGTAACTAGCGAATGTCAAACACACTGTAGCGAATGTCAGTCTCATATCAAATGGCAAAAGTCAATATTAGAATATTTTGAGGAAGTGTTTTATATTCCTTATAAAACAAAATACACACGTAATAGTTCACGACATAATAAAATATGGATTGTACACGTCATTAAAGCATTTTTAAATAAACTAAACCCCAAAAATATTTCTTTCATGTGCGGTATTATTCTAGACTATATATTAAATATGTATAATTTATAATCATATACTACATTTAATAATATGTAATACCTTCAACACACAATTCGATATATACTATACATTAAAGATTCCCTTAGTTACCTACTAATTAAGTATTAAATTATACATTCCTACTATTTAACATCAGGTATTAGCAGCCCCATCCTATAATTTAATTAATAATAATGTTATAAGATAGATACGATTTTTTACTTAGGTGTAAATAACCTATATTTATTGACAGACATTAAATTTATATTCTATTAAATATTTAATTTTTTAATTTTAATACATCTATATTTTAATAAGATAAAATAGATTTTCTAAGGATGCAGACTAACTGCCAGTTATTTGATTAACGATAATTTATAATGTAATATGCGAAACGAACGTTGAGTGATTGGATATATATTATAATTTTTTGTATTCTCTATTTTGTATCTACAATATTAAATGTAATAATGATGACGATTAAAGATTTTGAGTTAACGTATTTGCATGTTATTACTGAACGGATCAAATCGTTTCTAAGTTAATCACATTTAAACCAAATACTAACCAATTCAAATTTAGTTTTGAATAATGTATATATTAAGTAGGAAATTATATTTTTTGTTATTCTAAATAAATTGCACTCACAAATAAGTAATTTTTTAAATACATAATAGAATATATATTATTATTGATAAATTGGTTTTTTTCCAAACTTATTTTCAATTTAATGTTTCATCCACATCTGGTTATTGTATTTTTAATTTTACAGATTTATAAAAATTCTTGATGTACAATGAATATTATAAAGTAAAAATTTTATTCAATACATAGTTGTTTTTATGTCGTACTTTTATTAACTATAGTACCTACCTATATTATATTGTAACATCTGTTTTTCTCTAAGAAAAACAGATAAACTTAAAGATTACTTAAGGAATTATTTTTTTATAGGTAAAAGTAATATATCTATTTATATTTAAATCTCACGTTTAACATTCAATATCTATAGTGAATATTATAAATTTTAAAAATATGCATTATTGTATCTCATGCGATTCTTATAATAATTGTAATACCTAAAGTGAAACCTGATTTAACGAACACTCGTTTCAACGGACAAAATTATAATGATGATTGATAAATAAAGTGTATTCAATATGTCTAAAATGGAATTTAAGTAAGTAGATACCTACCTAGTAACACAAAGTCACAGACAATAATATTTTTCCCCAATTGCCTAATAACGGATAACAATCTTAGTCAAAACTCAACTATAACATTACACATTATGTGTAGGTACCTACACACTATGCTACAGTGTCACCGGTCGCGACAACGCTAATTGCATACAATTACACATCAAAACACGGATTGCAACCGACAACAAAAGCCGTGTAAAATTCCGCAACTAGCTTACAGCTCCAAGACCGTTGTGTAAAAAAAAAAGTAGGACAAGTGAGTACTGCTCAAATGTACAATAGATGTCAAGTGAGTGTCACTTTAATGAATGCGGTGTTATATCCAATGTTTTTTTTTTTTTTTTTTTTATATTTCAATTAAAGTCATTTTTAATACTATTGGTATTACAGTAAGTCTATTTGACTTTTGTCGATGACATCGCATTTATTATATCATTACTCATAACTCATTAGGTTATATTTTAATCATTGTTATAACAATGTTATTCCATAATATATATTATTTAAATCAACTTTTGAGACTTGATTCAATACCACCTTACCGCAAAACACTGTGAATAAATATTAAAGGTAAAAAAAGGTAATATCTTAATATTAATCCACATATTTTTTAAATGTATTATATATAACAAAATTCATAATATACGTAAAAGTCTTAAGTCCTCATAAATAACGTTTTCGTATTGTTTATAAGTTCTTTAGATTTTTTTCGTTCCTGTACGAACTAATTATGACTCATCACTTTTCGGGGTAATAAAAATGCTTCGATTTTCAACTTTGTTAGTAGTTTCTGGTTGAAAATTAGACATAGCCTACTTTGGAGGTCAAAAGTAAAAATAAAATTGTTGTTAAAAATCGAAAAAAAAAACGAAAATTCACAAGCTGATTACATAATAAGAAGTTATAAATATATAAAATGTTTATAGCTACGGTTTAGGAAGGTAATATTATAATATTTGATATAAATTATCAATCATTGCGAAATAGGTACAAACTTAATGTTACGTCGCACATAATATGTTATTTTTTTATATTTTTTTAACATAATAATAATATTATTATTATTATTATTATGTTTAAAAAAATGTATTTAATATAAATACTTTATTATTTTATTATAATATGTTAAATGTTTTCCCAATTAAACTTATGCAAAGTTTATTTTGATAAGTTATTTTTATGTATTTTATTTAATACTATTGCCTTACTGATAATTTACGATTGACATGTCTGACGTCATACTCCTACACCGTCAATAAAGATAACGTTAATTCATGCTTTTTTCACTAATATATAATATTATATATGTTTGATTAAACAAAATAAATATTAAATCCTATCTACATTAGACACTTCTCTATAACGAATATATTTTATGGTTTTTTGGCAGTTTATTATGTAAGTACCTACCTATACAGGTTTCACTAAATTCATATTTTTCTATAACAGTCATAACGTCATTAAACAATTTCTTGTATTAGGAATTGGGTCTTGGTACATACTTTTTTAATAAACATTTTCCATGAGACTTAAGTAGGTATATTATAATTCAAACAATTTATTACTAACAAGTTGTTTTATATTTAGCTGTTAGAATTACTAGATACTTGGTAGCCTACATTTATTTGAGTTAGCAATTATATCATAATGTTTTATAGTTATAAATTAAAAGACTATATTTTAAACATTTCTTTGAATAGTAGTAGATTTTAGAAATATTTTATACTCGTTTACAGTACATTTTCCAGAAAAGATACTTATTTTGGGTATTCGTCATAGGTAATAGCAGCCAGCAGGTTACATATTGATTCGAGCATATAATCGCATAGATATATTATAGATAAGTGTATACAAACAAATAAAAATAAGTACTAATAAACTATACCACAAAATTATCGACATAAATTTAATATTTGAAAAGTATCACCAAGGCCAACTGTTATTTAAGTGACTCAATAAATAGCGAGCAATAAATACAACGGTACGTAGTATATACAAAAACTATAAAAACTTTTCTAACGACAACATAAACAAAAGAAAAAATAAATTATATTATATTACATTAAAAAGGAGTACCAATATCCAATTGCTGCGTGAGAAGTTAGAATTAACCTTTTGTTTTTCATGATAAAAAAAAATTTTAAATATTACTTGATCTCAATAACACTTAAATTACCAACATATTAAGTATGTTTCAGTGTACTACGGTAATAGTATAATGAAAACAAATCAATTATTTTCGATTTATACCTACATACTTAATGGTATTTATTTTAATGCTTATACAATTTTTTGGTTTAACTTATACAGTTTAACACCATAAGTAAAAATGTAACATGACGAACCTTAGCTTACTTAGTATCCACGATTTACATACCTACTAAGATATTATATTAAATCGATATCTATATTTTATTACAGAGATCAAATAAGTTATTTTTATTTCGAATAGATTTCCATAAATCAGAATTAAATAATAAAAACGCTGAATTAAATTACATAGGTATCTATTATCACACGATTATTATTAATTGGTCCGATTTGCCGAAATAGCAATAATTAAAAATATTATCAGATGTCAATAAACAGAGACCATACAATTATTGTACATACCTTACATACCTACTTAATTTTAATTATTATAAGATCAAAATGGAAACAGTACAAAAGTAATCTTACATATTTATTATTTACCGTTTGGAAATTCCACGAAAACGAGATTCATTTCACGATAGGTTCCTAAGTACCTTATTGGATCCGTGTAATTGTATAGAAGTGTGATAGGTATAGATCCTAGATGAACGTTCCAGTATCTCTTAGAAGACTGAAGATATTCTCGAGTCGATAACACCATCACCTTTACGTCAAAACGTAGTAGGTACCTACCTATTATTGGTTTGTGCAAATTCACTGATTAAGTGTTTCAAATTTACTCAAAATATTTATTTTTTTTTTTTTGATTTGTGTAATTATAAATTTTGTGATTAAAAAACGGCATGTATGTTAAACTATTGAATTTTTTATTATTATTATTATTATTATTATTATTAAATTATTACTATTTAGGTAGGTATATAATTATAGCGATGTATAACAAATATAATAAAAACGACTTTAATACGCACTACACGATCGTAGCATTGCCTACAATAGACTCGACTATTGGATGGGGCCTACCTTGTACACATTATCGTTGGATACTTACAAAATATACTTCAATACGCAAAAACAAAAAGGTACCTATCTACATACCTACTTAGAGCTACCTGTAGTAGGCCCTACCCTCCTTTAATAGACGATCGCTCGTTGAACGGTGTTTGCAGACCGATCAACTTGCACGCGCCAATTATCGAACTACGCGCAGGTGAACAGTGCAGTAATACACGTAGGTATATACATAACATGTAGGTACTATATCGTATAATATATTTAGTGTGTATATATTATTTATTATACCAGACACGGACAAATAAAAATAATAAATAATTTGTACCGTGTACGAACATATTATACAAAACGTTTTCTGTCTGAATCAATCATAATCATAATTCAATATTGAAACATTTTTACGGAATTCTCTACGAGTAGGTTACCTACCTACCTAACGAGTACAACACAAAACGTTTATTCATATATCAGTCAAATAAAATTTAAATAGTTAAACACGTGTATTCCAGTTATATACATATTGCATATTATTATGCCGTAATAGCAAAATAATGTTACGGTGGCATAGTTATTTTTATACATAATATGCGTGTCATATTCCATCCCACATGACCTTTTATTTGTTGTGTATGCACGCATCATTGTAGTGAATGTTTTATTTATGAAAAATTAAAACTAAAAGTTGCATAGGCACCAACTACTAATACCTGCAGGCTGCAATAGTTCCCAACCTTTTCTATTCTACGCCACCTTTGTAGATTTTCAAAATTCTCGCCCCCCCCCCCCGCCACGATAAATTGAAAAAAATCGATCACCTTTTTTTTGTGTAGGTACTTTACCAATAAGTTATATAGTATTCTGAATGATTAATTTTTTAATTATGATTGGCTATTCGTTATTGATACTCGATAACGGATAAAGAGTCGGTTATTTTTTTTTTCTCTATGTTTTAAAATAAAAATAATTTAATCAATAAAAATTGTGTTTCGTAATAACAGTTTGCGCCTCCCCATTAATGTATACGTCCCCCCCAGTTTGGGAACCAGTGACCTGTACCAAATATTATTATTATTTAGTATTTAATGAGCGAATGTTTTTACTCTAAAGAATATACGATAATAATGAGTATATTTTTATATTTATTTCATATCTTAAAAGTGATTTCAACAAATAATTTGCCTAGGTAATAAGGTAATATTGTGGTAATATTTTTTTCCAGGGGGGGGCAAGTGCCTTGTCTTGCCCCCCCCCCCCCAAGGGCGCCCATGTGTATTATACATAACCAATGTTGGTATTTGTTACCAACTAATTATACTGTAAAAACTTTAATAGGTTGATACATATTATAGTCCTAATAACAATATTTTAATTGGTGGGAAGAACAATTTTTATTTAGGTATAGTTAATTTTTATTTTCAGTGACTGAATTTTTCTTTCAATCTATAGATTTACCTACCACTAAAATTAATAAATGGTAATTCATTAAGTAAATTTAATTTTCTCTTTTTTCCTATAGATCTAAACTATTTATTTTTTTCATTGATGCTCAAGTTAATTTTCTATATACATATTACATATCAAATAAATTTAAAAAAAGATAGATATATATATTATTTATTTTAAAATTTACTATTTAAATTAAATTACTTTCTGATCCAGATCTTAAAAATGTATAGTAATTTTCCTCATCATGTACAAAAATTTCCCTGCAATCAACATTATTTATACTTTTTTATAAACCTCATTGAACTCAACAGAAATTTCAATTTAATTATCTTATTTAACTATTGTTTGTAATTCAGATTCTACTAAAATGTTTTATTAAAAAGTATTACCATTATTCATGTTTAACTTGTTAGATATTTAGAATTTCCTCAGTTTAATTGAAACAAACTGATTTATTTATATTATTATAATCAATATTATAATACTCAATGTCTACAAAATTATTATCTAATAAGTTTTAAAATTCAGGTTTTAAATATTCATAAAACTCAAAATTGCTGACATTTTTCATTAAAGGATTGCTGAGAAGTGGTATTTAATTACCACTATAACTCAGGGACAATAGTGGCATAGATATAAAATTTTGACTCAAGAGTAAAATATCCAACAGTCCCTCTAATCTATACATTATATTTAGAGGGAGAAAAGGGGGTGCATTTATTTTATACATTCTTTAAAACTATTATTGTAAATTTACATAGGTACAAGCATACAAAAAAAAAAAAAAAAAAAAAAATAGCTTAATAGTTTATAAAATATTTTTAAAAAGACTGTAATGAGTCACAATCACAAATAAACAATTGTGTATGGAGCTGTGCAGTAACTTACAATGAAATAAATAAGTTGTGAAATTCTTTTGAGTGTTTTTATTTAAAGCTTTTCTAAACTTAAAAGTTTTTTAACTGAAAATATTTCCAAGTCCAAAAGACTAAATTCTAACATAGACTAGCCTGAAGGTGTTTGCTCTAACTCTTGTAAATCATGTCTGAAAAAAGCCTATCTCAAGCTCTCCTATATAGGTTCTTTACCCACTACTCTTGGTCATACTTAAAGTGACCATATATTATTTTAGCTAAAACAAGTCAAAAATAAATCATAATTTTTTTGTCATAAACAAATATTTTTTATTTAATAATATTATTAGCAAAGTTGTATAGTAGATACTTATTATATTGTTTTTAAAGGACAAAGAATTTATTCAGACTTCAAATGTTGTTCTACATCAGACTACATCATTCCCACTCCCGTGTGATACAGAAAATTGTGTTGCACATTTTGCACACATTTTTCAGCCTTTTTCATATGGGCAAGTGCCTCTTACTTTAATAAATGGATGTTTCTCTTTGAGAGCTTTATTAAATACACTCCTACGTTTCGAAATCTTGAATAAATAAATGTACAAGAACACAAGCATAATGTATTTAATACTTATATTATTTATACGATTTAAAATACCACACAAAAAAATCATAATAAACTTACAAGTAAAAGCGTGAAGCGTTCAAAACTCCGAAACAGTTGATGGTTGCTGTAATATTGTAACAGTACCAATAGTAACAACTAACAATAAACCCAAATAACCCATAAAAAAATATATTTTAGTAATTTTGTTTTGATGCTGATATCACAGCAGTTAATGATTTAAATCAATACATAAAAAAATATTTGGGGGTTCAGAATTTGATTCTCATCATTGTAATTTGAGAATTTGACACTAAATTCAAGTGTTTTTGCTCTAGTTGTCATTTTTGTCTAAAATATAATGATAAAGTACCTAGGTAAAAACAATAAAATTGTATTAGTAGGTACGAGATAAAAATTGTGTATTATTATGTCATCTTTTTAATTTTTATGTAAATACTTATAAATTATAACATATGATATTTAATTGTTTAGATGCAAATTAATGCTATTATATTTTATTTACCAAACAATGGGTTAAAAACGTTTTATTTCAACATATTTAATCAAATAGGTAATCTTACAAAATATACTATAATAATATTACACAATATTACAATAATAATCAATTATTTTGCGTTCATTCGGTACGAACATCAAACATGAATATCTTATGCTACCTATCTTAGACTTTAGTCACATTAAAATGATGGTGTTAAAAACACTAATATTTGACAAAGGTATTATGCATAATGTACCACTAAAAATAATATATATATTATAAAAAAAAATTAATAGATAAATATATAAAAATGATTATAAATTATTATCCAAAATCTATTAAAATCGTATTGTAAAGCGATTTTAAAATCATGTCTTTACTGTAAAGTTATTTTTATTTTTACTTATCTAAACATTTATATTTAAATATTTAAAAATAATATTATCAAGAGTAGACATGAGATAGTTGTACCAAACGATTATTCAACTACTCAAAAATACAACTGTGATAGTATGATACCACCAATTATTTAAAAGATAACTGTTATCAATACGGCTTAAGAGTAGTGACAGCATTGAACAAAAGACAAAACACGTTTTTCTGAATTTTTTAACGTAATAATATATCAAAAAATATGATCATTTTTAATGCAAATCGTTTGTACCAAGCATCAAAGAATCATTCATTTTATTGGCCTTATCATGGTAGTAATTGGTTTTTCCTAATGGTAAAATTAAGTTTCCATAAATTGACTTTGGTTAACCTTTCAAAATATTATTTTAAATATTACTCATCTAGTCAGTTAAAATATATTTCATACTTTTCAAAAGAAATATTCTTATGTTGTCCGAAAAAAAGTGTTTTACAAAAGACTGTGAACAGGTAGTCTAATATTTTGTTCATAATTCCAATGAAAAACGAACATCTCTTTATTTGGAAAAGAAGAAGGACTACGTTGAACTAAGATGGCTGATGAGTGCTATATATATACTATTTAGCTTTTAATTGAATGAAGACAATATAGTTTTGAAAACAGTATTTAACCTTGGAAGAAGTTATTTTTGGTGCTGTACGTATTTAATAAATTATGGTTTATAACAATTAATTGTAGGTAGTACATATTTTCTTATCTTTATTTCATTGTTGTAATTTTTTATTTATTATTTCAGTATCCATTCTGGTCAAGAAAGTAGATTATTTTGATACAAGTGTACTTTGTAAATTCATTACCTACGTCACAATATATGTACAAGTCGATGGTTGATGTATAATGATTCCTCTGCAGTCAACATTCCATTGATTTTGACAGCAATTTTAATTCTGTAAGTATGTAAGAGTGGCCAAATCATATTAAAAATATATAAAAAAATTTAAAATTACATATAATAAGATTATATTAATTAGTAATTATATGATTGCGAGAAACAGAGGTGTGTTGAAATAAGCATTTTTGAGACTATTGCTTCAATACCAAAATGAGCGGGTGGGATGAGTAAGTGGGTACTGAGCAATGGATTTAGTGCGATAAAATGTATTTAATAATAATATTTTTACTATTCAGTAAAATAAGAAGAAAAAAAGGTAGATTTTAAAGTAGTGGATGTATGGGTGGTCAAATGGTAATTTGCCTCAGGTCTGAAAATTGTACAACAAGCCACTAACAAGAATTTGTTGTTTTCCACTGTTTAGCTTACTCAAATAATTTGTTTTATATTGCACATGACTAATATGAAGAAAATGCAATGTGATGTATTGGAAATATTAAATATTAAAATTTTAGTACCAATAAATAGCTTCTAGTTCATTACAATTGCATACATTTAAAGTTTTCATCAATAATTATCGAGTAAATTTTATGTTTTGTTATTAAAACAGTTTAAAAATTACACATTGTTTAAAATAAAATAGTATTTAAAATTGTCTTGGTATTTTTTTTATTAAATAAAACTAACTGACTTTATTAGGAAGAAATATGTTAAGAAAAAATTGAACATACATGGTACATTATTTAATATTAAATTCTTAAAGGTCAACTATTAATGCATTTGTATATTGTTTCCTTTTAATAGTAGAACAGTAAATTATTATGTGACTTCAATCATTCGAATATATTGAAATTTTATATAGCTAAGGTAAATATACTTTTTTTTTATTTGTAAATGATTCAGTTATATTAATAAAGTATATTTATAACTATCTGTTGTGCTTCGTTCAGTTACGTATTGCTAATTTTATAAAAATGGTTATTACTCTTTCTTAAATATATAAATATACTAACTTAAAAGTAATAGAATAATAAATTAAAAGCAAAATACCTACTTAATTAATTAGAGAGTATATAATATAAAAATATTAAAAATATTTTTAAGATTTTATTACTTATCCATGATACAAACATGATGGAATATATTTATTAATAAATACATTGATTTTTAGATCTTAGAATTTTGTTTCGTGGTCGCTTTGAACTGTGATCTATGATCAATAAATCTGCAAGATTGTTGAACTCAATAGTCTACAACCACAATTTTAGTTGCTCAAACACCAGAGTTTGAGTTGACTATGAGAGATGCTGTCTACCCTTGCACTTTGGAGTTGAATAGGCAGAGTCTTCTCTTCTACTTCATCTAAAATATCTGTTAACCATTTATAAACCGCCCAGTATATGAATGGAATCTACCACATTAAAGGTATTACAGTTAAAGCAATGAGTTGTGCACATATAAGTTTTGTTCCTTTTGACCGCTGGAAGGAAATGCATCTGTATGTTTATTTATTTCAATATTTTTCATTTTATAAACATACAATGTTATTGTAATGGATATATATACTATGACCTACATTTATTCTAACATGTCCCACAAGATTTAAATATCAGAAATGATGATATTTTAAGGGTTTTTTAATGAATTTAATGATGAATTTGTTGCTAG